ACCTTGATATGTCTTAAAGATTCAAGCTTTATTGGTTTTCATCTTTTGATCTTGGAATATTTGGAGTTTTAATGCTTTAAAGGTTGTTTTTGTCCCTTTGATGGTTTAATCTATGGAGTTTGGAGTACTCCATGATCTAAGTGCGATCATCTACTTTAGATCTAAGGTTTAAGTGGAGTAGAGAGTGCATGCAAGAGCCTTCTTTACCCCATGCTTGAAGAAAAATGCAATCTTGGACATTTTGAAGAATAAGGTTTTAGATCTACTTTGTTTGGGATGTATTAAGGAATAAAGTTAGAAACTATATCCATTTAGACATCAAGGAGATCCAAATCTGAAAGTTAAAGGCTTTGACTTAACAGTTTAAGCCGAAATATTTGAGTTGGATAATGTAAGATGCAACATGTCTTTTTGTGGGCGTGACACACCTTTGGGTTTTTTTGGACATGTCCGATTTTGAGCTGGATCTCGATTATTTTATCCTTTAGTTGGCGTGGGGTGCCTAGTGGAGGGCGTGACGCTCATGTAGACCAGAGAGTTCGAATTTTCGTAAATTTTTTGTGGAATTGAGTATTTGTCTAAGGACTAGTCTCGGTTGTCATTAGGTGGCTTGTTTTAGCTGTTACTGTGTTGGGGTTGTTAGTGAGCTTTTGTTGTTTAGCTCAGGTGATTTTTTTCACTATACTATATAATTAAATATGTGTCCTCATGTGCTAGGATGTGGTTAGACTATAATATGTTATTAAATAGGTAGACTGGTAGACTGTTACATGTGATGCTAAGTTGTTTGTTTATCTATATTATGTGTATTTTGACATATGATTGGTGAGTTATGGCGGTTTAACGTTGTGCTGAAGGCCAAGATACTCAGGTGGATCAACTTTATGTTGAAGGGCAGGTGCAGTCTAACTTTATGATGAAGGTAAAGGTGTGGTCCACCTTTATGCTAAAGGCAAAGGTGGCAGGCCAACTTTGTGCTGAAGCCTAATGTTGTATGATTGCATGTATTCCGATGTTTATTGTATTTTAGGTAACTCTCTAAGCTTTGTGCTTACAGTTGTGGATAAAATGTTTCAGGTACTTCTTCGGATTGTGCGAAGGCAGAGGCACGATTATACACACATTCATCAACAGTTTTTTGATTTGGCAATGTCTTCCTTATTACTCTGATTTTGAATTATGTGATGAACTGTAACAACCCGTCATTTCAGATTGACTCTTGTAACCTCTTTGAAAAAGAGATTAGAAAATCATCGAAAAATGAAGTATTCAAAAACTCTATTCGGAGTACGCTATGTAGTAAATATCGTCTCAAGGTTTTCATACATATAAAGAACACTAAAATCCGAGTTATAACGAAGAAGTTATGACCATTCTAAGTTTCCGACAAAAACCGGCAATACGAAGTTACGTAAAAACGCAAAGTTTCAATAGAACACTTTTTGACCTTAGGTGTATAAATGAAAGTCATAGATATCGTTAAACTACAAACGTGCATAAAAAGAACGCTCAAATCGGACATCGCATGAAAAAGTTATGAATTTTTAAAGAAATTCCTTAATCACGTCATTTTAATAAATAAATAATAAAAATAATTTCGGAATTAGCCGACGGAGTCTAAACGAAAGTTGTAGATCTTAGTCTCACCTACACGTGGATATAAAGAAAGTTGAAAACGGAGTTCGTATGAAGGAGATATGAGTTTTTGAAGTTTGATAAATAATTAATATATATTTTTATTCAAAACTTCGGTATTATCCGAAGTCTGAGTCACACAAGTACGCCCTGCGTACACGAGTACGCCCAGCGTACCCAAGGCCTTGGCCTCGGATCGTCCACGTCGCCCCTATGTGATCCTACCCCCGTCCCATCCGAATTCCGAGGCAGTCGAGGACTCGGTCATGCATGACGTACGCGTACGCCCCGCGTACCGAGGCGGTTCCAGCCTCCTATAAAAGGGATGCGAGGGTTCTCGGAAAAATTGCTCATTCTCTCTCACTTTTCTTGCGTTTTGCCTCGTTTTCCGTGCTCACATTACCCCGAAGCCCTGGTCATTTTGTGCAAGTCCCGTAGGTCGATTTTACTCCCAAGAAATCCCAAGAAAATCCGCTTTTTTAAGCCAAAGTTCTGCTCGATTTTCGTCACACCTTCTTCAAACCATCAAGTGATTTCATACCCCTTCAAACACACTTTAAATACATTTTAAATGCTTTTATACTCTTTTAGGGGGGGAATACAAGTAAACATACGGTTATTATCGTGTATTTTATAAAGTTTCACTTCTATTGTTTTATCGAATAAATCACTTGGAATTCATTACTACTATGGAAAAGTCTTGTCATACTTTGCGTGCATTAGACTTATACAAAGTATATAGTGATTTCAAAGTACCTTTCGTTGCTAAGTCGTTTTATACATTCTAAAAACTTATGATTTATGCTTTGTCAAACATTGTGAAAAAGGATAAACTTTGCATACAAAACTATCACTTTAATACATACTTAGTTGAGAATCCATGAGACGTGTATATCTTCAAACACTACTTTCTTATTAGAAAGTAATGCTGCAAGTTTCTATCTATAACCAGAGTCTCCCGTTAGGAGAACGTGTCAAATGTGTATAGATCTATACGGGAAGTCATGATCCCGCGCCCTGACTGTTAGCTACAGTCCGTCCTTTGGGGTGACAGTTGTCATAACTCTACGACGCCTGAAGAACGTCGCTACAGGCATATTATGTTTAGTATGGTTATAAAACTCATCGGATACACAATTATTATAGTACTTCTGATTGATGAACGAGTAGTTATTAAAACTATTCTTTATCTAACAAACGGTAATCCTCTGATAGATTTATTATATAGATCTATGTCTAAAAGCATGTGGCTTGCTTCCAATTTTTATTCTTGAACATTAAACAACTATAGGAAAATAAGGGATTTTCTTGGTTCAACTATCTACATTTTTCAAACACAAATACTCTCATGCATTTCATACTTTTATAAGAAAATAAGGGATTTTATTGGAATACATACACCCATTTTGGAATGTCATTCAATTTTTCTAAACCACTTACGAACTCACCAACTTAATTGTTGACACTTTCTCTTTGAAATAACTTGTATTCTCAGGGAACCGCTAAGCAGGTTTGGAAATCAACTTTTGGGATTAACGCGCTGGCGTTAATTACTTCTTTTGAAAGATGTTTATGTATTTATCTTTTGAACATGTAATGAATACAATTATGTAAACACTTTTAAAATCTTTATATATGTATGGTGGTGTGTACTTTCCTTTCTATGAACTGTTATGATACTGAATATGACGTCCTCCGCCCCCGAATGTTTCCGCCGTTCTGGTTTGGGGGTGTGACATGAACAAATGGTTTTTTTTTTTTTTTGAGTATGACTTATGAAAATGAGTATTTATCTTTAATTAAATTAGACGAAAAATTTATTGTAAAAATTGGAATGTTACATTGAGTTTCATAGATTTTCATCACCAAGTCATTAAGGAAGATGTCCTTACATTTATCGAGTAAGGTCATAAATTGTTTCTCTAGTTCATGGTACATGTAGATACCATAAAGCTCAAAATTCATCAAGTTTAGACCAGCGAGAGGCTTGTGTATAACAATAAATGTGTCTTTGTAGCCTTCATATGATGAATCTATTACAAGAACCGGCAAAAACACACATTTAGTAAACGGATTTCAAGAACTAAAAAATGACAAACCATTTTATCATGAGTTGTAACAATTGACCCTATGTAAACGACACACTTATAACCCAAATTGTCTCTGCTTGAACTACTTTTGACACAAAAATTAAACCCTAATCTTGGTAAAATGCCCTTTTTGTGATGATTGCCTTTAATTTACCTGATGATCACAGAAGAGTTGGTACATTTAGGTGAAAAAAGTTAATGTCCGAGTGATATAGGGTGCTTATCCATATAACATCTCAAAACTCTACCTCGTTTAAAGGGTAAACGTTGTTTGGTTGGGTGCGGTAGTGCCGGCCTCATTAGATAAGTGCTACCAACTCCTAATTTACGTGCTAGCAACCGATTAAATGCCATAAATGCAAATAATAAACCAAACCTCCTACTTTAATGGACCTAAAATATACAAAAAGCTAAACCCACGTACTATGTTATTACTTAGTGGCGAGACTATTTTATATCATGGTGGGTCACTTGATCCATCTTTTTTTTTTGTTAATAGTAAGTTATATAACTTAAAATTTGTGACCTACAAAAATTTTAAATGAACCATCTTAATATTTTTGACAAAAAATATATAAATCATATTTTTAAAGCCCACATTCTATATTTTCATAGCCCAATATTTTTTTTAAGATATAATTCAATATTCATAGCTCAATACATGTTAAACTAAAAAATAATAATAACAAATGTGAACCACGAATTAGCAATGTCGTTTCATAACACATAACGCTTTAACCCTTCACAATCGTCGATCCAGTATTGCCTATGGGCTGTTGCAACCGCCGATAAGTTATTCTACTTTGTTAACTTTATAAGCGTTAAATAAAATATATAGAAGTTCTATTGTCAATCCATGAGGAGTGGACCACAATTGTGAATTAATGATAGTAATTTAGTTCAGTATAGACACTATGTTTAATTGTATTGGATCACTTTTTTTTTTTTTTTTTAATTATTGCTTGTTAATATTTATTCCATGAGCATTAAAGCTATTGAATGTCGGATAATACTTAATAGTGATTTTTTTTTTTCATTTTTTTTGAATGTTACATGATTCCACAATGGTTATTTTTTTTTTTCAAACTTTCAATACTATAAAGGATTAGTATTTAGTAATGATATAAGTGTGACAATATATCTAGATATAAGACATCATGAGGTGCAATTGTAAGATTTTTTTTTGCCACATTTCGGCCGGATCCGAATCCGAAACTAATATATTTTTTTTTTTTTAATTTCTTTTTAAAATTTTAGTTTTCTATTGATTTTATTAAAATAATGAACATGTAGTTTTACGTTCTAGTATTACTTGAAAGAAAATAAAAAATAAATAACGATACCATTTTGTCTGGTTATACTACATCAGGTGAGATGTATTCTGACTCGATCAATTCGAGGCCATCATCTTGATTTCATGTTGAGGTGCTATCTAGGTGTTTGTTAAAAGTCCCAAGTGAAAATTTCAGTTATTTCAACCAATTACCGTTACCCAACTTGAACCATGGACTGGAGACGACGACTCGCCAATCTAAGCAGAGGAGTGAGTTGGATCGTGGCAATAGGATCCCTCTTAGTTGGTACATTCTCTATTTTGATGATGGTTAGAAGAGGTAGAATCTCAAATCTTTATGATGCTCAATCGAGTTCTTGTCAGTTTCCAGCAATCTACAACTTTGGTGATTCGAATTCGGATACTGGAGCTGTGTCCGCTGTATTTGGCCGCGTTCATCCTCCTTTTGGGATGACCTATTTTCATAAACCTTCTGGCAGGTACTCCGATGGGCGTCTAATCATCGATTTCTTAGGTAAATTTATTGAAATTTTTTACTTAAATGGTTAAATTTTAGATCTTTCTCAATACTTGGAATCGATTTTGATTTACTTTGTTTGATCTTCATCTGGGGTTGATTTCGAAGCTTTGGTTGAATCTTGAGTTGACTCTTTAAGAAATTGATCAACGTTTCACATAATATCTAATTAACAAATACGCCCTCTATTTGACCAAATTTTCCGATACCGGAAAAAGTTTAGTATGAATTGGGCATTATAGTTTCTACTTTAAAGTTGGATACTAAATAAGAATCTGAGTTAATTTATATTATTTTGTTTAATCTCTATGTGGGGTTGATATAAAGATTCATTTTTTTAAAAGTTATGGTTAGATTTTGAGTAATCAAACTTTTCATAAAGATATTCAAAGGCTTGAATTATGTTTCTATATGTGGATATCTGCAGCTGAACGATTAGGTTTACCATACTTAAGTGCATATTTGGACTCCATCGGAACAAATTTTAAACACGGGGCTAATTTTGCTGCGAGTGGGTGCACCATTCAGCCTGCGGATGCTCTCATGCTGAACCGGACTTTTAACCCTCTCACTCTTAATGTACAACTTTCACAGTTTGAACAATTCAAAGATAGATCTACCGATTTGTATCGTGAAGGTAAAATATTTATCTGTCACTGTCACTGTCATTGTCACTGTTATAATGTTAATTCATTTTAGGGTCTGACAGTAAAGATGGTTTTCCACGGCCCGAGGATTATAAGCGAGCCCTTTACACATTTGACATAGGACAAAATGATCTTCATGCTGGGATTACATCAATGAAGGAAGAGCAAGTGAAGACATATATCCCTACCATAATCAATGAGTTTGCTTCGGTCATAGAGGTATGGATAGAGGGTTAATTTGGTTATTTTTTGTTGATAATAGGCTAAACGGGTAAATTTTATAATTGCTTTGACACTCTACAATCAAAAAATCATGATTATAGTAAGTCTATGTGTTGTTGTTATTATAGAAACTTTATCAACAAGGAGCAAGAACATTTTGGATTCACAATACGGGTCCAATCGGATGCCTACCGTTTTTTGTGAAAAACTATCCACCAACTCCCGAAAACACGGACCAAATCGGATGTGTAAGGTCATACAATAATGTAGCACAAGAATTCAACAAAAATCTCAAAGATAAAGTTTCACAACTCCAAAAACAACTTCAAGAAACATCGTTCGTGTATGTTGACATGTATTCGGTCAAATACTCTCTCATAAGTCATGCAAAGAAACATGGTAAGCAAAATTTTCCTACTTTTAGTGGAACCGGTCAAGGTCCTTTCTGGCCTTGGATAAATCCAAGACCGGTAAGGACCTTACCAGATAGTGGGTCAGACCAGTCCTGATCCACTATCTTTTTACCATTTTACCGTTTTGTATAGGCATAAAAGGGTAATATTTTTGCAGGCTTTACGGATCCTCTAGGGCAATGCATAGGGCAAGATGGGGATTTTAGTAGAGGTTGTGCGAACCCGTTAGAATATATTAGTTGGGATGGAGTACATTATACAGAAGCAGCTAATAAATGGATTGCTAATCGTCTTCAAGATGGCTCCTTTTGTGCTCCAAAGCTTCCCCTCATGAAAGCATGTGAAGCCTTTTTGGGGTCCTAATACTCATTGTCTTTGATTCTTTGGCCATGGGATTTTAGATTGTATATTGAAATTGGTTTTATGATAGTTTAAAAATAGTTATGGTGACGTTTTTTTTTGGAGAGAAGTAGCTGGATATATAGCATTAATGTACTTTGTCCTCTTTTTTTTAAGTAGTGATTTTGTATATTGAACTATAATAGAAGACTTTTTTTTGAAAAAATAAAATAAATAGAAATGTTAACGACTCTGCTGGGGATCGAACCCAGAATCTCTGGTTCCGTAGACCAGCGCCTTATCCATTGGGCCACAGAGTCATTTTTGATTTTTACAGCGATTTACCATATATATATAAATATTAATATACAAATATATAAATAAATTACCTTTGTTTTGGTTTGGTATGATACGCTTCAACCTTCGAGCTCCAACTCAATTAATCCGTTTCACAATTTCACCACACAGCAGTTAGGCCAACCGTTGGGTTGGTTTAATTAAAATTTTTAACTACCATCATTGTAATAAATTCCCATCCATGGAAAAAGTTGGTATTCTCATCATCATCTATCGCCCAATGAATTCTTGATTTTTGTTTAAGATCAAGACTAATTAATTTTTCGAGTTTAGCGATTTTTTTTTTGAAGTCATCAAGCCTTTCTGCTTTCTAGATGAGTTGTACTTTCGGAACCAACTAAAATAAAAGAATTAGTGGTGGCTGGAAATGGTTATTTAAAACAGCTTACGCGTATTTATAAAAATACCTATTAGATTTTCCGGTGTTAAAACGGAATTCTATAAAATAATATTTGGATTAGTAGGGGTTTAAAGATAAAAATGGCTTTGGTTAAGTTGAAAAGTCAGATTTTTTTTTTTTTTTTTTTTTAGAACCGGCAAATTTTATTATCGGGCTACTACCCAGCAAGTTGCTAGGCAGGCCATGAAAGAAAAGTTACAATTTAGTTTGAATTACAATCAATTCAAAGGGCAAATACACTAATCAGCCCAACTAAAACAATAATTTACTCTCCTGTGTCTAAACCAAGTGAATACGATGGACTTAACCCTATCAATAATCCGGAAATGGGAAGTTCATTTGTTTTTTAATACACCTTCACATCTTGTTTTCCATAATATCCACATTTGTCACACCCCCAAACCAAGGATGGCGGAAACGTCCGGGGGTGGAGGACTTCATGTATAGTATCATAACCACAATTGCAATAGTAATTTAAGCAAACACAACCAACATATATATAATTGAAAAAGTTACATCAGTGTATGAGTTACATGTTTACAAATCAATTACAATATGTTAACAAAAACATAATATGTTGACGCCTTAACGTCCCATCCTCAAAATGCACTTTGGTATCTGTTTAGTGATTACCTGAGAATACAAGTTGTTTGGAAAAGTGTTAACACAAATGTTGGTGAGTTCATAAGTTTTTGTTTTCGAACTTGATAAAAGTCTTTCTCTTGTAAATGTCACGTTTGTTTCAGAAAAATCCGATATTTTCCTTAAAATCTGTGTAATGTAGTCTTATAACCGAATACCAAAATGTATAAGTAACCTCTCTTACTAATAGAAAATGATATGCGTTTAAATCGACATAAACGCGCTTGAATTAAATGAAATTCCCACAAATTCTTATGTTTGTTAATACTTTCTGTGAGTTTATTATAACCATGCGATGACCTAGTTGGCCTAAAACGACGTTCTTCAAGCGTCGGAACTGTTTATGACATTTGTTACTCCAGACCTGCCGGTCTAACTGTTGCATGCAGTTAAGGTGTGGGTTTGTCAAACCCAATATAGATCTATATACAACTATCACGCTCTCCCCCCAGGAGACTCTGGTTACAATACAGGACTTAATGGTAAGTGTGAAGCGAATATCTCACAAAGCCCCTAACGAATTTACATGTAACGTAATGAAAATCTCTTATCGTATAAATGTACAATTCTTGTATGAGTGTGTTATGTAGTGTATCATAAACCATACCTAATATAGTTATAAAAAATAAGGGTAGTAATGGTAACGTACGTAATCTATATTCAACGTAGTTTGTTCATTTGTTTGAGTAAAATGGATATACTTTGTTTATAATAATCATGTTGTCCTTTATATTTCATATGTATATCTATATCGAAATCCATTTATTAATTGTTGCATGTTCATATACCAAGATAAAATATCGCTCTTTTGTAATAACATACATTCACATAAGGATATATACCTTGCTCAACATGATACAAGGTGATAATAATATGTTAGCATTTTTCTGTTTGTAACAGCTTCGATCACTGTTATTAGAAAATTTATAAAAACTTAATAAAAGATCCAAATAAGAATCCGTAAATTCTGGGAGTTTGGTTAATGAGTCTAGTTTGTTCATAATTTTTAGTGACCTCCAACCTAAGTGAAAACATCCATAAACACAGACTGGTCCGGTTTGGTTCTTGAAATGAAAGGCAGTTTTGCAAAAATCACCATAAATTGTAGAAAAATCGTATGGAGATGTGCAAGTAGTCATTTTAAAGCTAAGAACTTGAACTACTTGCACCTTGTACAATTTTGAAAAAAAAATGTTTAGTTGACCAAAACAGTCCGTGAATGGAGTCTAACTTTTCTGATGTAAGCTGTTAGAAATATTTAGTTGTGTTCTTGATGATTTGACTTGTATTCTCACCCTTAAAACATAAGAAAATATGAAAATGTAGGGGTATGAACTCACCTTATGTGATTTTAGTAGATGATCATTGAAAAATGGAATTGATCAACTCAAGAACACTTGAAGATGCCTTGAAGATTTTCGAGAAACTAACATCAAAGTGATGGAGTTTGTGTAAGCAATCAATGATTTGAGTAGAATGAAGTGTAATAATCACAAGGAGGATGAATTATACTTACCAAGGGGAGGATAAAGCTTGAATATCAGCCTTGGAGTCTTGAAATAGAGAGATAAAGTTTGAGAGAAAAGTTGTGTTGTATCTTTGGTGAAATGAGATAAAATGAAAGAAGTGAGGAGAGAGGATGGGTTGTTCCAGCTCAAAGAATGTCGGAGAGGCTGAAAATTGAGTGGGAAAGGATATTGAAGTGACCTAGGTAAGGTGGGGAGGTGTGGCTGGTCATAGAGTGGGTGTGGGGGTGGTTGCTTGTGTCATAAGGTAAAACAAAGTCAACACTTAACCTCTTTGTACTTTACCCACTAAATTTTATTCTTTAAATAAAGATTTCCATGAAAATATGTTTAAATTATGAATATTTAGTGTCTTTTATATTAAAATATGATTTTTGGAGAAAATCCCGCGTTAAAATCATGAAAAACAAGCTCAAAATGTGAAAAATATTGAAAATGGGCCAAAAATGTCAAAATTCCGAAGTCTGGCCGGAGGTTCGGCCTTCTGGTCATTCGAACCGAAATTAGAAGAGAGGGACTTGGAGGAGAGGAGAAGACCTAGAGGAGAAGAGAGGACCAAAAGTAGAAGAAGGAACCGAGAGAAGGGGAAGGAAGACCGAGACTCGGTCTCTGTTCTTGGCGGGTTCGGTTCCAGGTCTCGGTTCTCAGGTTTCGGCTAGGGCAGCGAGGTTCGATCTCAGCTGCTGGTCTCGGTTCTCAGGTCTCGGTTTTGGTTGCTTAGGGTTTCGATTCTTTGCTGCTTTCGGTCCAAGGAGTTCGGCCCTAAGAGGCTTCGACCCTATAAATGGTTTTTCGGTTCTTTTAGGGTATTTTACTCGTTTTAACTCCGTTTTAAGCGGTTTTTGACCCGGTTAAAGGTCGGAATGATCCGAATGACTTCAAAAAGTTACGAGAACCATTGAGAGAGATTTGGGAGAGATTTTGGAGAGATTTCAAATAGAAAGAGATATAGTGAAAACGATTGAGAGAGGTTTCGTTTGTGCCCTTTTTGAGTGTCCGGCTTCGCAACGCAAGGTCCATAAACCTCATTAAGCCATGTTTTAGTTTCTTACACACTCCCGATGAGTGTGTATTTGTGGTTTATTGCTTTGGTTCATTGTTTACCGCCTTTAAGGCTTAGGAAGAATTCAATCACATGGATTTTTCAAATGATGCTTTCTCATTAAAATAGCTGATTGTTTAGTAAATACACCACGTAAACCCAAGTATGCTAGAGCTAATTGAGTCGTTTGGTTTAACTTATTGACTTTGTTTGAATTTGACTTGACCCGAATTTGACTATTGTCACAACATTACACCAAAACAAACACAAATTAGGTTGTTTCTCCTTCTCCGACATCTCCCCCACGTTTTTACAAATCCGATAAGTTCCCCAACGGGTTGAAATTGTGGTTTCGGAATGTTGCACCATTTAAATATCAAATCCCAGATATTGCTCGCCACTGGACATCATATAAGGATGTGCTCCGTATCTTCATCCTCAAGATGACACTGGGGGCATGATGCGTTTATAATTGCGACTCCTCTCCTTTTTAGTGCCAGGTTAGATGGGATACGTCCCATATTAGCCCTCCAGACAAAGGAATTGACCTTTATGGGGATTTCATGAATCCATGGGATGATAACTTCATTAATTTCCGGCTCTATGTTATCGATTTTTAATATGATCGTCTCTACATGGAAAATACCATCATCCGATAAAGGACAGATCCAAGAATCAAGATCTGGAGATGGACGGTGCTTGCCAATGATCTCGTACAACAACTGAAAGCTATGGATCTGCTCATCAGTTGCAGGGGGTGATCTCCATTCCCAAGAATAACCATCTACTTGCACTCTTTGGCTAACCTTGCAAGTTTTACTTCTTTCAAGTTGATACAATTCTGGGAATTGATCCTTTAATGGTTCCCCATCACATCAGTCGTCCATCCAGAATAAGGTATCGTTGCCGTTCTTTACTTTTTTCTTTAGGATGTCTCGAAAGCTTATCCCAGCTTTGGGTAGATCATTCATCACCTCCGCAATATTGTTCCACACACCTGCAATAGTTCTTTTTGATAAGACGTTAGCAGGTTTATTATGCAAATTATGAATACTCGTAATTACTTGACTCCACAAAGCTATTTTGTTTGTTTTTAGTGCCCACCACCATTTGACAATCATTGAAATGTTGAAGGCCCTGAGTGATCCAAGACCAAGACCCCCCATGTCCTTTGGGCTAACTATCTTTTTCCACGATACCCAATCAATTTTAAACTTGTTGTCACACCCGCCCCATAAGAATTGCCGCCGAATTTTTTCAAGAAGATCATAACTCCCACCGGGGCCACAAATATAGAGAAATAATACAACGGTAGACT